AAGGCATTTAGACGAAACTTGAAGTCTGATAAAAGAGTATATATGTCCAATGAAGTTAAGGTCAGTTCTGATGAAAATGCTGTTGAATTTGAAAGGGATGACTTGAGGAAGTGTAGGAAGACAATGAACAATATGGCAGTGATGAATTGTCATGTTAAACATCCCATGTGGTTGTCTAATTTAAGCCAAAAGCCCAATGATAGTGAAGATCGTAGCATGATTAGCATCAGTCAAGGTAAATGGAATGCTGTGAATGACAAACAAATCACGTTGGGTTGTTATAGAAAAAACGGAATTCTATAAATGTTTGTACTTGGACCATATGATCGGCTGCGATGGTGTAGAGCATGCGATATTTGAAAATCGAATTGACATGCATGTGGGTGTGGAATGTTAGTGAAAAAAAAAAAAAATTTTTTTTTAGTGTATGTACTAATTGAACAGTGTATTGCATTATTAGTATTAGCTTTGTTGGTGATTATGTTAGGTATTGCAAATGGGAAAATTTGTGTTGAAATCTTGCAAGGGTTAAAACTTCAGGGACGAAGTTTCGGGAGATCTAGCTTGTATCACGGTGAATTTTGGTACCCTGTGATTTCGTGGCACTGGGTATGACTAGGATCGGGATGCATAAGTGGCGTGATTCGAATTTGCATAAACAGATTTACATGAATTAATTAAAAGTCTAATCTAGTAATAATCTAATGTGTGTAACTCGGATAATAATATATCCGGAGATAATCTTGTAATAGATCTTTAATAGTAATAAAATTATTAAGTTTGCTTAGAGATACACATTCTTAGTGACACCCATTGCTTCTCTTGTTGTAGCATAAGGTGACGAGGTGGCAGTACCTGGAATGATACACCAGCGCCAAGTGAGTATTCTGTCTAAGTGAAAACAAACAAGACCCCGTATAACATAATTGGCTTTGACACCGGTATAGCTAAAAAATTTCTTGCTATTTTAGATAAATTTGAAAATTAGTTACAATTTACTTTTCACTAATCAAGCACTTTTGTATCCTTTGAAGTTGTTGGTTTATTTAAAAACTGAAGTTCATATAAATTATTATTAGTACTAGTATAAGATATGTATTGAAAATAATCATTATCAGACTGATAATCAGAATTTGTTAAATTATTTCTAGTAGAAATATCAGTAAATGAATAGTTGCAATAAAACCTAATATAAGTTTCTTCAAATCTATAAAATTAAAAAAAATTTTAAATATATTTTATAATTTTGTGATTTATAATTAAATTCTATAAATATCTTAATTATAAATCTGTTATGATTTTTTTAATTTTTTTTTGTGATAATTTCTTTTTTGCTCATAATAATATCTGAACTATTGTAATTTATAACAAGAATTGAGTATAAATATAATTATATATAAAGTGCTAGTATCTTTCTAATATTTATCAAATTTTTTTTTTATCATATTGGCAAATTCATGAATAAATATATTGGAATCAGATTGTATTTTTTGTAAATATATTTTGATCTTAAAAATTATTATAATTATATTATTAAGTGTGATATAAGAACTTGCAGATATTTAATTTGTACTATAATTAAATAGTTTAATATTAAATAATATTACAGTCAGACCTCTTTAAATGCAACCTCCCTAAATACATATATATGAAAAACCTCCTTAAATGCATATCTTTTCTTGGGCCCAACTAATATAACACTTATAGATTTTACCTTTCTAAATATATAACCTCTCTAAATACATATTTTTAAAATTTTTACTATGGTCCCAATATTATGCATTTAGAGAGTTGACTATATAACTCAAATTTAATATATTATTTTTCTGAATATAATCTCAATAAAATTATCTAGTATTGGCTATACTATTTGTTAATTTAGTCAGGATTATATTTTTTTAAAAAACTGTTTTTTTAAAAAATTATACAATAACCTAAAGTAAAATTAAAATTTATAATTATATTTATAAAAAATTATAAAGCCATCATGAATTGTACTTGATTGTCTCTATTCATTCTTAGATAGTGAATCTGAAAAAAAATAGTCTCTATCTTTAAGCCTTAAAAATGTTTTTTTAACTAATTACAAAATATAATATAAGGAACATAGAGTTCCATCTTGTAATACAATCAAGTAGAGGTATCATTACGCTAATTTCCTTATAATTACAGATATTAATAAAGACTTGATGATACTTTAGTAAAGTATAAAATGCTTTAACACAATTCTAAACCTATATATATAATATAAATATAAAAAAATTAAATTTTTTTCTTTTTACATTATTTTATACATAACTATTTTTTATATAATATAAATATTACTTACTTTATTAATAATATGTTTAATTTTTTTATACTATTTTAAATGATTAAATTGATTATATGGGCTAAGTAATGATTTTAAAAAGTTCAATATCTATATCAACTGAAAAGAGGTAAGCTTATTGGCAAGTTTGTTAATAGCTATATTATTAGAAAAAGCATTATCAAGTATTATAGTTTGTAACTTTAAATATATTATAGTTAAAATTTTTTAATTTTAATCAATTAAATATTTTACTATATATAATAAAATAAAATATAATATTTTTATTATAATTAAAAAATTATCTGTACTAGATTTAATTAAACTAGCTATATTGGTTTCAATATAAGAAAATACATTAATCTCAATAATATAAGAAAGCTAACAAGCTTCCAATCTTTATCTATAAAATACACTATTACAAAACTATAACTAAGTTGTTATTGCAATATCTAAATATCTGTTGTTAATAATATTTGACTTAGAATATTTTGGAGAATATTTCTAATAAATGTTTTTTTATTTTAATATAGTTTTAAAGTATCCTATTAATAGTATCAGCATTGCAAACTTTAAAATTAGGTTGTAATCCTTTAACAAAGGTTAAAAATCCAGAGTGCTTTAAAAAATTGAAAACTTAATTCATCTCTGATAATCATATTTACTAAGTTTATTCTACTTTTTTCTTGAGAATAAACCCAATTTGTAGATTGATTAAAAATAAGCCTTGTTTAATCATTAGTATTTTTAGAATTTAAATTTAAAGATCATCTTATACTTAATACAATACTTTAGATGATAATATAAATGTATAGTTTCTGATAATTTTTTTTGAGAAATTTTTTCTTGCAATAATTATATTGTGCCTTGCCTTTATTATTCACATCTGAAGTTATAAATATAAAATAGTTTCAAACAGCTGACAATAACTTTTTATTGTTAGTTCTAAACCCATAATTAGAACTAGTAGTAGTTACTGAAATCTTGTGGTTTGTATTATAGTTTATCTTATCATTTGTCTCATAGTTAGTCTCATAGTTAGTCTCATAGTTTACTTTATAGTTTGCTTCATGACTTGTCTTATAGTTTGTCTTATAGCTTGTCTCATAGTTTGTCTCATGACTTGCCTTATAGTTTGCTTTATGGTTTGATACTAAATCACTTGACATAACTAAACCTGTATCAACTTCTATATTATGTTATTAGATTAAAATTTTCTAAATATGAATTAAAAAAATAAGTAATTTATTAACTATTAAGCTACAAACTATTATACCTGTTATTAAGATTTACTAACCTTAACTTTTATTTAAAATAGTCAATGGGGAGTATGTCAATTTCTGAATATTAACAGGTAAGATAAATTTTATAAAACAATGTATATATATATATATATATATATTCGATTTTATATGATTGATATATCAGGAACCCAAGATTACTAGTTAGTTTTTAATAGTATTTAATTATACCATCTATGTGTTTGTCATTAAGCAGATTATATTTAAAAATTAAAAGTTTGTAATTGGCCAAAGTGCTATCTAATATACCTTATTACACATCTAACTTCAGTATTAATATACTTCAAATTTATAGTGATAATAATATATGATATTAAAATATTAGATCTTTAAATTTTTTTTTTTTTTAATATTAAGGTGATTTCTCGGTTGTATTTCTTTTATTTAATTTTTAAGTTAACTTTATAGTATGTGTTTATAGCATACCATATACATATTAGGAGGGTACAACTAGCTATACGTACAACTTTTGGTTGCCTA